GGTTGCATACAGGGCATGGCCAGTTCTGTTGCTCTTTACCCACATCACAGTCCTGGTTGCACCTAGCAATGTCTTCTATAAGGCCATGTTAGATGCCACATCAGATCCACGTGGCATTTGATAATGTGGCATTTATTCTTATTCCTAATTTCGTTTTCTTGATTTTTTTTTTAAATTTTATTACTGATTGTTAACTTTGGATAAAAAAAATTTGTTAGTGATGAAAGTATAAAAATATATATTTAAAGTATGCTTAACTGTTAACATTTGTGAAATTATAGGTTAAAAGTTGTATTTTTTATAATAAACTTCATAATTTTTCATTCTATTCATGTTGTGCAAATTTTTTGTGATTGAAGGTTTGATAACTAAATAAAGAGAATTAAAAAAAAAGGACTCAAATGCAAAGAGTCAGGAAGATGAGGGTCCAATGATCAAATTTAGAAGTTTGAAGACTCAAGTGAGATTTTCTGCATTTTTTATTAAAGAGCAAATTGCAGAGATCAGAAATATGATAATCAGCTTCCGCAGACTCCGGGAATTAAGGACCAGGACTGTTAGTCTGCCGGCCGTGGACCAAAATTGCACAAAAGGCCAAAAACCCGGCGGGGATAGTGCTTCACTCCAGGTGCCGGCACTTATTTGAAGGTGTCGACCCCTTGCGCGATTTTTCTAAGTCCAGGTGCCGGCACTTTTTTGAAGGTATCGACCCCTTACGCGATTTTTCTAAAATTTTGATGTGAGTCCCACCGTCATTATAATTAAGACTTTTAAAATTCTATAAATATCCATATAAGTTTAGAATTGGGGGGTGGGGGGTGGATGGGTGGGAGAGTCTGTTCCTAGGCTTCTGTTTTCTTTTTTTTCTGTTCCTAGGCTTTTGTTTTCTTTTTTTTTTTTTTCCAAGTCTAGAAAATTATGTCAAAATCTAGAAAATTATGCCAAAATGTAACTAAATTTTCAACAAAGTTATAGATGATTTTGATTGAAAAGTTTAATTTATTATTTTATTTTGATTTCTTCATAAATTTTATTGTTTAATTTTATTTTTGAGAGATTATTAATTATTTTTCAGATTTGAAAACCCTAAAATTATATTTTATCAAATTTCATATAAAATTAATTATGCTCTTTTTATGTGTAATTTGTTAAAATATAATTGATTGGTACATTTATTTTATGGGTTGATCTTTTACTGCAGTATTGTCGATTAAATATATTGTTGCTCTTGATAGCTTGTAAGGATAAATTAATTTGTTTTTCATTTAAATTAATTTTTTTAAAAATAAATACATTAGTTATTATTATTAGTTTTCAAAGTTAAATCTTTCGATTATTTGTTTGGGATATGAAACGTGTAATTGAGTAATAAATATGATTATTTGTTTGGGATATGAAACGTGCAATTGAGTAATAAATAGGAATTAAAATTTATAACAATTGAACAAATCAATTAAGTGAGCGCTGAAATCTTATTCATCATAATATTATTTTCAATCTTCTATAATTATCGTATTTTATTTAAATGCTTTTATTTTTAATTTTAAAAATAATTTTTTAATTTAATTTTTCGTTGTGACAGTTCTTTTTGTTGGTTTAATATAACTTCTCTATGAACTCGACACCTAAAGTTATGCTACAACAACCATTTAATCGAAAGGTATTACTTTTAGGGTGAAACGTTACAATTTGGCATCATTGTCGAGGAAGCCAAATTGACAATTAGAGTTTGAACATTATTCACTTTTTTTTGATTTCTTTGATTTTCTTTTTGTCTTTAGTTTATTTTACTTTCTTGTTTTTATTTTGTTTTCTTCATTCAAAAAAATAAAAATAGAATGTATGAATAGATTGAGAGACGAAAAAGAGAGATTTATTAAATTAGATCCACCACCCTTTGAAAAAGAAGAAGTCGAGTTTAATTCATCCTTTAATTCTGAAACCATGAGTCAAGACGAGGATTAACCTATTAGTACTTTGAAAGACTACTTGCACCCCATTAGAACAATTATACCACCATGCATAATGTTTCCTCATAATACACCACACTTTGAGTTCAAACCTGAAATGATTTAGCTTTTGCCTAATTTCCATGGTTTTAAGAATGAAAATCCATATGGCATGTTAGGGAGATTGAGGAGGTGGTAGCCATTTTTCATAGTCGAGTTGACAGTATAGACACAATTGGGTTGAAATTCTTTCCCTTCTCCTTGAAAGACAAAGCTAAAATTTGGTTATATTCTTTGAGACCGAGATCTATAGGTACATGGGCAAAGATGACCCAAGTTTTTTTTAACAAGTACTTCCCACATCACAAGACTAATAATTTTAAAAGACAGATCTCAACATTTTCTCAAAAGGATAGTGAAACCTTATACCAAGCATGGGAGAGGTTTAATGAATTGCAAAACTTGTGTCCACATCATGGTTATGAAACTTGGAGGTTGGTTAGTTATTTCTATGAGGGTTTAACTAGTAGGGAGCATCAATTCATAGA